GAGGGGGGGCCCATGGGGTCCGACCCCCCCCTAAAAATCTATAGATTGGGTTAAATATTCGGCTTTTGGGTTAAAAATAGCGCTCTAAAAGCATACTCTACATTATTTTTTATTTGGGACCCCCCTAAAATAAATTTCTGTATCCGCCCCTGTTTTGGTGTATTGTGGTGATTTAGTGTTTTTTGATTTTGCATTCGAGTATGTTTCTATTAAAAGGAGAAAATTAAAAAAAGCTGAAGAAGCATGACAAGCGTTACTTTCACATAAAAGTGAACCCATTAATCAAAAGGAATATTAAAAATACCTTTGGTAGTAAAAATATTTTAGCAGGGGATGTGGATAAAACTGTTCTCCTGGCATCATCATCATCATTTTCAGCTTATTCAACCATTTCCAATTATGGTGTAGCCTCCCTAGCACTCTCTTTGTAGTTGGGCACATTGTTGGCTATTGTTGGCTATGCGAGCCCAAGTTATCCCTCCTAATTTTCTAATATCATGGTTCCACTCAGGTTCGGACTTCCTCTAGGTCTCTTAATTCCTCGTGGGTACCATGCTGTAATTTATGTGGTCCATCTGTTATCCGTTCTTCTTACCAGGTCCTGCTCATTGCCATTTGAGGGATTTGACTCATAGGTGGATGACAACCATTACCTGGGTCTTTTGTCGTATCCACTGTATTCTTTTAAGATCTCTCTTGGTTATTCCCAGCATATTTCGTTCCATTGAATGTTGTGCGACCTGCAGTTTCCTTATGATGTCCGTTTTAAGTGTTCATGTTTCGCTTGCATACGTCATGACTGGTACACATTGGTCGAATGTTTTCTTTTTTTTTAGAGAGGCATTCTAGATTTGAATATGATTGAGTTTCAATAAGTACTCCATGCTAACTTAATTCTTCTGTTGATTGCTGGTAGTAGAGATCCCGAGCTGTGTATTAGTTGATCCAAAATATATATGTTCATACTATTTCTAGTGTTGTGTTATTTATTAGAATGTTTTTTCTTTCTACTAGTTCGTTGTGCATTACTTTAGTTTCTGCTAAATTTATTTTGAGACCCACTTTATTGCTGGCTGTATTGAGTTTATTAATTTGCGCTTGTAGTTCTTCAGGACTATTGGCAATTAGGACTATGTCATCAGCGAATCAAAGATGGCTGAGATATTCTCCATCTATTTTTAATCCTTTGTTGGTCCAATACAGTTGACGGAACATTTCTTCTAACGTTGCTGTAAACACCTTTGGAGATATCGCGTCTCCCTTTCGTATTCCTTTGCCAGTTGGAAACTCTGGAGTTGTTTTCTATACCATTACTCTTGCTTTGGCTTCTTGGTGTATATTGGCGATAGTTTCTATATAAGGTTTGTCAATATTTTGTTTCGCTAGGGTTTTATTCTATTATTGCCTTAGGATATATTGGGACTTCTGACATATTTTTAAGAAATGTTATTATAAGTGACATTAATGATGTAAATAAATTACATATTAGGGTAGTTAGATGAGTGCCCATTTTCATTTTATATTATTATTGAAGATCTCTATTATGTTTCATGGCTGGTACTTATAAAAGACAAAATGAATTACGGTATCTTAATTTCCGTTAATAATATCCCAAGGGAATTATGACTCTATTTAGGGTTAGCATAACCAAGACGATATATCGCAGGCGCATAGAATAATCCGGCTTTTTGCAAAAAGTCTAGGCATATTATAATAAGCCGGCTTTTTAAACAAAAGAAGGAATTTTTACAAAAAGCCTATCTATTTTCAGTCACTTTGGAAAAAACCTAATCAGATTAATCTGATCTGATCAGAATTAGGCATATTAAACAATGGCGATATTTTCTGTACACTTCTGCAAAAAGACTGCCTGTTTGAAGTCGTTTTACAAAATGCCAAATCGAAGCCAGGCAGATTAAAAAATTACCAAAATTTATAATTAATTTATGCTTTAACAAAAATACCCCATATTTTCCTATACAAAAACAAATAGTTTGTCAAAATTTTATTTTGTTTAGACGAAAACAACTTGAACCCTATTTCATAAATTATAATTATAAGTAACATAATTTTAAATACAAAATATATTAAGACCTTAATTTTAATATCTCGTTTAATTATTATACTCTCTGTAATTTGATTCTGTGTACAGGACTGCCTCTTTGTGGAATTTTGCTTTGTTTTTTTGAAACTTTTATTCTTTTAGAATAAAATAAATTCAGATCCATAAGGATCTAAATTTCTTAAAAATTCTTCCATTCAAGGACGATTATTATAAATAATAAATGATTATTATAAATAATCGTCCTAAATGGAGTATATTTAATAGAATTATCACTTTTTGTGCCATTATTTTCTAATTTGAAAGGGAAGTTCAATAAATGTCATTGGATATTTAGGTTAGTTTTACTAATCCCACGATGTTTTGTGCAATCTGACTAGTCTTCATTAGGCATTTTGCAAAGCGACTGAAAACAGATATGATCTTTGCAAAATATTCTTCTATTATTAAACACGCCGGCGTTTTATAATATGCCTAGTCTTTTTGCAAAATTCCGGGGTATTCGATACGCCTGCGTTTAATAGTATATTAATAATATATTACATACTAATAAGTGTTTCATTACTGTCGAGAGATTAACTAAATATCGAGACAATAATGAAAACTTTCCTCCGACGTTTGTATACTATTTTATTTACAACCACATCATTAATTAAAAATAGGGACAATGTTTTATTTAAAAAAAATAAATATGCGAAAAATTGTCGTTTCCTGTTTTGACATTTCAATATATATAGTTACCGGTAACAGTGGTTGTTATGGCGCAAACCTTCAACAGCAAAACAAACAACTAAATGACAGTTTTGAATTTCTCGTTCGCTTTTTCGAATTTATGTAACATAGAAAGCCAGAATGTTGTCGGAAAGTTCTGATAATGAACTTTAATATTTACTATTACTAATAATACTTTACTTTAATATTGGTACTAGGGTTCGTCATTTTCTTGACAACTTCTTGATCTTGTCTTGATTTCAAGACAAGATCAAGACAAGTAATGATTTTTGGTTTTCAATACAAGACAAGAAATTACTTCTCAAGATCAAGATTTCTTGACAAGAAATCAAGAAAATCTTGAAATTTCTTGAAGATATAAAATAAAAAAGAAATACTCATTTACTTAGGTATTTGTATATTATATTAATATCCATTAATTGATGGATAAAAAAATTATTAAGCAAAAAATATTTGTATGAAGCGGCACTTTGTCGGATGTCCAATGTCCAAAGTTAACATAAGTACGTCCAAAGTCAGATGTCCAAAGTTGGCATACTGAGGGCCAAATTAAATTGGAACCTTTTTTAATGTCTAATAATTTTTTAATTTTTAAATGTTTTTTTATAATTTTTTGGATATGTTATGGCCTACGATATTAGAATAAAAAAAAACTTTGCAAAGAGGGTCTACTTCAGTGGCATACAGACTTTTTGAATTAACGTAAAACTTTTAAAATAAAAAAAAATAATACATTTTAATGTGCGCCACTGAAGTAGAGTACCTTCTATCATTGTTGTTTTGACTGTTTTTATCTGTAGTAATATTATCACCGTCACTACTGTCAAAGTCACTAATTGAACTTCTACGTCCAAGTGTCTGAGGTGGGAGGTATTCTGAACCAGATTCGATTACGAATGGCACAGATTTGCTGCTCAACGAACCATCACAATCACACATTTTAATGTTAGAAAATAATAATAATAATTAACAAAATTATGTAAATGTGATGATTTTGGGTACAGTAGTATAATGAGCCCAAAGTTTCTGAATTTTTTGAAAATTAGATGTCTGACCCTCGATTTTACGCATAAAGCAAAAACATCACATTAACCAATCTCATCGCAAATTTTAAACAGGGGGTTCCCCTTTAATAAACTAATTTTAAACGAGGGTTCCCCTTTTGTCAAGATATCAAGAAATTTCAAGATTTCTTGAATCAAGACAAGAAATCAACTCTCAAGAAATGGTCAAGACAAGATGTTTTTTTAATTCTTGACAATAGTTCAAGACAAGACAAGAAATTGCTTGTCAAGACAAGATTTCTTGTCTTGCCGATCCCTAATTCGTACTCCACCAGAATTTACAGAAGCTGCAAAAAGAGGAGAAGCCAGTTTACTTCCAGAGGAAAGTAGGAGGCGATATTTTCATAGCTATTTCTAGCATTGAAAGTATACGAAAAATGGTGTTGCAAAAGAAATGCTAAGAATATATTGCTTCGGAGACAATCATGGCATATTTTAGCGACATGGAAAGGCAGAAAAAGCCATCTACTCTTTGGGCTACGTAAAGCATGATACGGACAATGCTAGAATTAAGGGAAAAGGTTGACATATCAAAATATCACAAACTCGTCGCTTTTTTAAAATGCCAGAATGTAGGTTTTAAGCCAAAGAAGTCTAGCATTTTTACCAGGCAAAACTTGGAGGATTTTCTCACGAAAGCACCTCAAGAATTCCTTCCTATTAAAGTAAGGCTTTTTTTAAAATGTTTTCAAAAACTTCAATTATTATTGTTAATCTTGTTTATTTTTGTTGATGTTAGATAATTATTTAATAAAGATATTACAAGAATGTTTTGCTTAATTAAATGAGGCGAGAAATAAGAAAAACCGAGTGAGGGAAATGGATGAAGGAAATGGAAGAGGGAAGAAATGTAGGTAATTTGACACTTTCAATTTTTTTTAAAAGTCAGTAATGTCAGTATTACATTATGTGGTTGTAAATAAATTAAATTACAATCATTGTTGATGTTGTTAATAACTACGGTTAGGATATTAATAGTTTTAAACAAAGCCCTGCGTTCATAACAAATGCATCCATTCGATTTTTTCGACGATTCCTCGTAGAAAAGATACCGAGCGCATATTTCGTTCGGGTCATAGGTCAAGACTGATTCGATAAGAGAAGAATTGAGAATTTTGGGAACGGGCAAACCGTGTCTCTTTATCGTATTTCTATTTCTTTCGGAATTCTTCAGTCACTTTTGAATAAAATGATCGACAAAAGTTCGGTTTCGGCTCCGCTCACTGTATCGTAGTGTTACGAAAATGATCGACTTTATTGTTACTTTGTCGGTGTTTAACTTCACTTTGCTTTTTATACCCATTCTGATTTTGAGTTTTCTTGGTAAGTAAATATTATAACATTTACTTTAATGTGTTTATAATTAGTTATTATACGATAATACTTGAAGGGTCCAGGGGAAAAATTTGATAAGCGCCAATTTCTTAATTTTAGGATTTTACAATATTATAGTAGGTCTAACTGGTCCCTACCAAATGTATAAATTGTGGGCAATAAGTTGTTAAATCCTATGATATATGCCTAGTAAAAATACAGCATACACGGAGAAAACCTGATTACCACCAGCCGTCCAGTGCTCTCTTGTAAAATTAGTAAAAGGGCGCTTATCATGTTTTCCCTGGACATCTTGAAGACGATGCTTTTATTATACAGGGTGCTACAAATTCGAGGTACGAGCATTGCTATCTCGGAAACCGTAATATATACGAAGATAGTTAAATTGGGGCAAAGTTGCGCCTTGGGATGTTCACCAAGATGCCATCAAAAAAGTTTTAAAATTTCAAGGATTGCTGAGTTTTTTGAAAAAAACGGATTTTTTTGAAAATAAATTTTATTTTTTCCTGATGTTACTTTTTAGAAAATCAAAAAACTAATTGCACCTTCTCATAGCAACTTTATCAGGCCTATCTGATAGTATTTTTAGATATTCAAATTAACTGTTAATTTGTGAGATACAGAGGCCAACTTATTTTTTCTAAATACGGGCCTGCATTTTTTATTTCAGATTTTGAAAGAACTCGGCCTCCTGAGTACAATGATGTGCAACACTTAATATTTTTTTTTGTTTCCGAAATTTGAACACAATATATTTAAGTTTTACTAAGTCAAGTCCGGCTCTGTTTTTTCTAAATATTTAATCTATTCATTGTTACTATATTGAGAACTTTTAAAACTAATCAATGACGTAAGCTAAATCATTGAATTAAGAAAGTCAAATAGGTACAATAAAATAATATTAAATAAATAATATAAATATAATATAAACAATAAAATAATTTCCTCGGAAGATAGATTGGGAATGGTGGAATAGCATAATGGCCAGCAAGGTTCGTTAACCTGTGTATTGACGTCATTTGTAAAAGTTAAATCAATATACCTCAACGTTTACAACAAAGAGTACAAAATGCATTCGGGAGTTTTGGAAGTATAAGAAGATCTGTTGAAAACGCTATACCTACTCGATTATTGAAATTAACCGGTTTTTCCCATCACTAGGAATAATGTGGCGTATCGTACAAATCTTATAACAGCTCTGAAATATATATAATCACAATATCAACGCTCCCTTGGTCCAATCCATTATTACTGCTTTTACGGCCCTTTGAATTATATTCATTTTTGGTATTTTTGATAATATCGTTTTGATCAGCATTATCAGCAGAAAAAAAATAGGACTAGATATCTGAAAGTGACCAGAACGAAAGCTAACCAAGAAACGAGATCCATATTCCTCAGAGGCTCTTTATTTGTGAAAAAAAATTATCCTAATTAAAGACGATAATGTTTATTTCGATTTCCAATGTCTCTACAATTTTATTACCTATAATGGTTTACTAAAATTTATCTATCGATTGCTGTAGTATCACAATCGTTTTAAACTTGAAAGAGTCCATTTCACTAGTCCAAAAAAGTAGCAAAATAAGCGTTCGACATTTAGCGTTTTATGTGTATTTTCACACAAATGAAGAAGAAAATTAAAGATAAAGGATTATACTATATCCGTATTGTAGCAAATTTTTAGACAACTTCTTTATTTTTAAGATTCTGATTGTCAAACATTAACAAAATATTCCTTATGTTTGGACTAAATTTTCTCGAAAATAAAGACATAATTTATAATTCCGTTACAATACGGAAATAGACTGAAGTTTTGTGATTACAGTGATATATAATTTATATGGTTTTGTAACAAATTGCTCGCTATTTTATGGCAAATGCTGAAGCTCTGCAAACCTTAATTAAAGCACGTGCGTTTGGAATTTTGGGTGTTGCTTAACATGACAGGATCGGACTAAGCCTTGGGCAGATTTCTGAAATATAATATATCTTTCCTTCGGCCAAACACCCACTTTACCCGATCCCTGATAGCGACCCGAACAGTATATCATAATAGACTCTTAAGGCTTAACTAAACGCAAAAGTTAAATGAATCTAACTAAAATATGTTATATTTTATTATTTACACTATGAAATATAAGTCTTGTGTATAATCTATTAATTTATTGTCATGTTGTTAACTTTCTATTTTATTAAATTTTATCTAATTTCAAAAACAGACGTTATACTTCGGTATTTGATTTGAGCTTACGCTATTTGAAATTTCAGATAGATTAGACTGATATAAAATATAATATGGAACAGCTTAACTATTTGAATCTATGATTTGAACCGTAACTCTTTGAATTTTGAATTAAAATTATTTTCTTAAATATTTCATTATTTAAGATTCTTCATAATTTTTTCTTTTATAACCATATAATGGTAATAATTTTTGTATTAATATATAATTATAAATTATTTAATTAAAGATTTGCTTTGTACGGAAGCGCTGGAGGACCAGTATGTATTTTTTTTTAAATTCAACCGGTTGATTTTCACACTCAACTGATTGACTTAATACTCAACTAGTTCAGTTTCCAATCTCAACCAGTTGACTTTATAAACTCAATCGGTTGACTTAGAATCTAAACCGGCAGCGCAGCACGCGCACTCGCCGCACGCGGTTCATTGTTGTATCAGTATTCGTAGCAACTTGTTTTGTTTACATGTTTACGTGCAATCACAAAACCTAAACTTATGGTATTCTAACTTGTGCTCGCTTTATTATAATAATTATTTTAAATCAAACCTTAGAACCCTAACCTTAGAGCAAAGATAAAATTTAATTTCTCAAATGCATATAGGCATTGATTGCTTCATCCGCATTAGTTGGTTTGTCAACATGCATTTCAGATGACAATATTTCACATAAATCGAAAACGTCGTTATCAGAGCACGGAGACTGCAAATACAAGAATTTCTCCTCGCAGTCTTTACTACGCATGTTGTTTACAACTGTAAGGTAATTTTGACAGCCCTCAAGTTCTGGGAACTCGCAAAGTATATCGGGACGTCCAGATGGTGAAACGCTGTGACAGCTTCTGCGTATGATACAGATTTGTCTATCAAAGTACAATCAAAGATTCCATCATCTGTCATTTGCCGGAATATGTCGTTTATCCAGAATTGAGTATTGTGTTTTCTTAAAATTGCCATATAATCCGGTGGCAATGTACTCTCAAGCGGCACGTTATAAAAATGCACGTTATGAACGTTTTCGGTGTCCATGTCGCTTCTTACAGTTCTGGGGCAGCCATTTACAACTTTTATTGTTTCAATATAGTAACCGGATATATCTCGAGGATTATTGTTGGTACTTGCAGCTTTCAGCCATAAAAGTTTACGTGTAAATCCATCGATGCAACCGCTATACATATTCCGTAAGGATTCAGTTTGTCATAACCATCAACATGCCGCAAATAGTTGGGACCTTGGTTGAAATACTGCCTTCTTTGGAGTCGTTGGTTCTCCTTTTTGTTGAGACACTTTGTGGGTCGATAGAATTCAACACATTACGAACAATATTCTGTCTAACATTTAGTCCTGCTTGCTAACATTTTCGGTGCATCCATTTATATCCATGCAGTTTACTTGAAGAAAGCACTTTTTCACTGATAAAATCTAGTATATTTGGTAGTGGAGCATAATTTTTTCTCCGATATAAATTCAAATACCGCAGACGCCTTTTCAACGTTGTAAAACTAATAGTGAAGTTCTGTTGTAGAAGGAACAACAGTATTTCATGATTTTATAAGCCCAAATAAAAGTAGTATTTAATGGCGTTATTCAAATGTGGTTGCTCCATGTTATCTTTCCAATTCACCGTACACTACAAACTTATACACAAAAAGGCGTTTTATTTTAGGACTTCACGAGAGGAGAGCGCGTGTATACATGTGCACGGAAGCGCTACACATGTGAAAGTGGAATAGAAATAATCTATGGAAATAATTTAAAATGCTTGAGAAACTCAACCGGTTGAGTTTATAAAGTCAACTGGTTGCGTTTATAAAGTCAACCGGTTGAGTTTGGAAACTCAACTAGTTGAATATTAAGTCAATCAGTTGGTCCTCCAGCGCTTCCGTAGCTTTGGGTGATATAAACGCATTTTATACATATTTTGACAATTTAACAATCTTCTAAATAATAGCTTAGCAGTATTAAAAAAGTTAAAAAAATAAATATATTTATTATAATATTAATGCTTCTCTATTTTTAGTTTTAGTACCATTTATGTAGAATACAATAATATATACATCACACCAAATAAACTTTTAGTCACATGATTATGCTTGACCGGCACAGCGTTGCCTAATTTTACATATTTTCTTCCCATCAAAATATTTTATGAAACAAAAATAAATTAATTATAAATATATAAACAGTTATTACTTACATCAACAAAACTCACTGCCTTAAAAACACTTAAAGGACATAAAGGGCCATTACTAGCGCTTTCTGGTTCAAAATATTCTTATAAGGCTGTGATGATTTTTTTGCAAAGGCTTTTAAGCTGTCTTGTACACTTCGCACTAAAAGAGGTTCTAAAAAGAAAAATGTTCGACTGCAAGGTATGCTAGTAAATTTTTTTAAGTATAACAACACAATTCATTTAAACGAAAAACTCGTAATACAAAATTAATTGTGTCAAAACGAATGTCAAGAAATAAATAAATAAATGTGGCAACTTGACATTTTTTACAGCAGAGCTACCACCTGAATCCCCAGCGGGAAATTTAAATTCCAGTAAGTCAGACCGTTGCCTAATAGGTCCATAGTTGGCAACAATGAATTTAAAAATGGCGCCCTCGATTACGTAACTGAAAGTTTAATTGGTATCGATTATATAAATTAATAATGTGGAATATAAAATTTAATAATTCATGTCCCAGTAAATATAAAAAATAACATACGAACAATACACATACCATTTAAAATTTTCT